TGGAGAGTGGGGTCTGAGGGACACCAGCCAGGATTGTGAGTATTGAAGTCTCCTGTGATGAAAACTGTGGTTGATGGAAATTCAGCAGAATCCAGAGCATCTTCTAACATGTCACAAAAGTGTAGATAAGATTCAGTTGCACTACCGGAAGGAGGCCGATAAATACAGCAAGCCAGAATAGACTGGTTCCACGTTCCAGTTTGCAGCTCTACCCACACCATTTCACACCGACCTTTAGACAGATCCGGTCTAGGTTTGATCACTTTGAAAGAATCCTTATGTATCAGTAAAGCAACCCCACCATAGCCTCGGGTTGCGTCAGTTGCATGACGATTTTCGTCTACAGGTCTATCCCGGCGGAAGCAAGTATAGCCTGGCACCGAGAACGGTTGATCTGGCGCTAGCCACGTCTGCGTTAGACAGACAATACTGGGATTCAGTTGGGAGATATTAAAGTGCAGTTCGGCCAGTTTATTACTTATGGATCTGCAGCTGATTGTGAGGATTTCTGGCTTATGACGACGTGGGATAATCGGGACAGATCTTGCAGACAATTGTGGAATGAAGGGTGTAGCATGAGGGTTTAGGTGTGACCGAGAATCCATCAATTACTAGCGGAGTCGGCATAGCGCCATTTGCGGACGGTGTGCACAATGGTGTCGGGCCAGAATTCCTTTTCAAGCAGCGTTTGCTCAAACTCTTCCGCCACAGAAACGCGTGCATAGCAGGTGCCAAAGTATTGGGTTTCGGCAATTGTGCATGCGTATACATCAACGCCCCTATCAGCGCACCAGGTTACAATGGACTGTGCCTTCCAGGGCTAACATTCCCGACAAAGAAGGCACATCGCTTGGGAAGATGTGTGCCAGTGAGTGTGTTGGGGTTGGGGTTTTCTGTGGCCATTTTTCTGTAGACAGACACAACTTTGAATTTTGTTGCCCGGGCAATGGGATCGCTGTGGGTCGCTGATTTATTGCTCCTTCGCCGCTGTTCTTGCCAGTTGTTCTGATGGGGATCGCCTTCTGTGCTCCCAGCAGCACCCTTAGTACATGTGGGCTGTACTGGTGCACCACCGGCGCCTGCTGTTGTAAGTGCGCCCCCAGCTGTTGCATTTCTACCAGTGTTTACAGGTATGTTCAAGCGTTCCATGTGGTTGGTGTTAGGTACGGTGGCCCTGCTACTAGTGCTAGTTGAACTGCTGTGTAGAGTGCGTGCATCCTCTTCTGGCTGTGTGCTGTTCGTAGTCACTGTACGAGTACAACGGGATTGCATGTCTGGAGTGTCGCAGTGTACGGGTTTGGATGAACCATTGTAATGCTGCTGGTGAAGCTGTTGCACTTCCCCCGTCAGCTCCGAAATTTCCAGCTTCAAGGACAAAATTATGCTATCCCTGTCCTCCCTCATGGAGGCAATCTCCCCCGCCAAGGCCTGGATAGTGTTAGCAAGGCGATCTAGCTTAGAGTCATTAATCCACGACGTACCGGTGTCAGTGACGGGCTTCACTCCAACGCCGTGCTTCCGCAGTGCCTGCACTAGCTCTGGCTGGGCGAGGCTCAAAGGGAGTCCAGGGACTTGCGTTCAGCGATGGCGATTAGTTCCTGGTACCCAATCAGGGCAAGATCAAGGTTCTGGTCCAGGGACATTCTTAGTTTCAGCAAGGAAAAGCAGCTTGGTGAGGAAGGTAGAAGGGTAAAACTACTGCGTGAGGGGGGGGGGGGGGGCTCCCGAAAGCTGTTCCGAGTAGCACCAAAAACGTCAACCACCCCCACACAAATATGACTGCAAACGCCAGCCAAAGGAGTAATGACAACCCGCCAATAAAAACATGTTTCTCATGCCTGACCAAGGGTCGTTTTTCACACAAATGAATTTATCTCGTCTCTGGTTGCTGTTTTGCTCGTTCATACATCTTGGGTTTTACACGTCATGCTGACTTGTCCACACATCTAAGATAATAATGAAATTTGAAGTTCTCCCAAGCCTTTAAAAATTTAAAAAATGTATTATTCAATCTGCGGACAGAACTGTTTCGTCCTTTATGGTCTCATCAGCGCAGCACGGAGAAAATGAGGGCGACCCTGATAGCAATGGAAAATATTTTTCCAAATAAAGAGAGGAAGTAGAGAACACATGGGAACGAGCTATGAACCAACTATCCACGACTATAACAAGATAATGAGCATTCAGAAAGTGCAATAACAGGGCACAAAACCGACAGGCTACTGAGACAGTCAAGGACCTGAGACCTAGCTCTAACACATCTCCGGTGCGCAAACCAATGGCCTTCCAACTTGGAATATTCATGGTCAGGTAGGACCTAAGAGGGGAAGGTGAGCGCAGCTACTTGACAATCACCTTCCAAGTTGGAAGGCTGTTGGAATGCCCATGCATCCAAGACGTGCTCAAGCTGAGTGGCAGTTAGTTGTAGAACGTCAGTACTGTTGGTCAGTGCCGTGCAGTGTTAACGCATGAGCTTACTATTAAGTAACTGGTGGTGTTGGTGGACATAATATCGTAACTTGTAATTCCTTGGTCCTTTTTCTTCCTCTAAATTTATCCTCGGCTCTCCATCCGAGTCTAATTTTGTGCTTCAAAGTATTATTTTGGCATTATTTTGGTAGTGCGCTTCTGCAATTCGTCTTTTTGAGCACTCTTGTTAAGCTGCTTTCGTGCTGCAGCGTTATACATCGCTCGCTGCTTTTCGTAGTTTGAGCACTCTGGCGCTAGAGTGCCGAGCCATGTTAATAATATTTAGCATCCCCCACCTCACAACAGAGCAACCGAGTTTTGCATTAAGCTGGGAGTGCCGATTCGAGCAACTGGTATAATGGCTCTGCTTGGAGCCGCTAGATGGCTCGCAGCTGAGCCAGCAAATGACTCCGCTTGGAGCAGGCGAATGACTCCGCATGGAGCCGGCAAATGACTCCGCATGGAGCCGGCAAATAACTCCGCATGGAGCCGGCAAATGACTCCGCATGGAGCCGGCAAATGACTCCGCATGGAGCAGGCGAATGACTCCGCATGGAGCCGGCAAATGACTCCGCATGGAGCCAGCGAATGACTCCAAATGGAGCTGGCGAATGACTCCGCATGGAGCCGGCAAATGACTCCGCATGGAGCCGGCGAATGACTCCGCATGGAGCCACCGAATGACTCCGCATGGAGCCGCCGAATTACTCCGCATGGAGCTGCCAATTACTCCGCATGGAGCCGCCAATGCCTCCGCATGGAGCCGCCAATGACTCTGAATAGAGCCGCCAAATGCTAGATATATAGAGATGCATAACCAGTTGAGAGCATATATGTAGGACTCAGTGAGCAGTCACGTCTCGATGACCGATCACGATCCCCGTGACCAATCAAACAGTCACAAATCCCCGAAGAGCAGTCATAAAGTCACACACCAGTTTGAATCCCGATGACCAGCCACAAACAGCCGCGACTTTCTCTGTGAACAGTCACAGGGTCCACGTCAAAATATTACGACTCAACTGTAGGCATTCACGCGATCAGCATACCGGTACCGGTACTCGTAGATCTACGACTCGTACTTTTTTCCTTCACAGGTTTCAGAAGTGATTTCGATCAACTGAGTTACTCTCGATCTCCGCGTAGTTTACTTGTAGCTCGAGTCTGGTGTGTATGGACTCCTCTCCAAAACGAAGGGTGGTCGAAAATCTTGCAGGCTTCAGATAGAATCTCTTTTGAGAGGACGTTCTGGCTAGTAGATTGTGCTATTCATCATATTTGAAGAACAAACTTCGTCGTTCAGAAAAGCTATTTCGGAATATTTTCAGTCAAGTAATTTTTTGCATGCCGATCTTGCTAGAACGGAGACTGATTTCAACTGATCCAGCATACAAACAGCACTCGCTTTGTGTTTTTGGAGAGGATGGGTGACAAGATTACGGAGTCAGAAGTGGACATCGTCGACGATGCAGAAACGAAAATATAATGAAGATGGAAAAGAAAATATGTTCATCTCCAAGAAGGTACTGAGTACATCAAGCACCTTCGTGTGTGTAGCTCTGTCTTTCTTGTGGAAGACTACACAGAAAAACAATGTCCAGCTTGTTGAAACTGAAACTGCCTCTCAGTTGAAGTCGTTCAGGGAAAACATCTATTCAAGACATCATTGATCCATTCTCAAGAACCATCGTAAGAAATTAAATCAAGTCATGTTAGCGATAAGAATGGCGAACTAGACCAGAGAAGTGTGAATGTCTTTTTTGACTGCAGGAAACTGTATTTCAATATTCTGGCTCAATTTATTGATGTAACATTATGGTACATGTACATGGTCTTTCTCGTTGTGCTGCTATAACGTGTATTAACATTCTACTCCCCATGCTAGAGTATAGAGTAGACACACACGCGTGCAGGACGCGACACACCAAAAGACAAGAGAGTGAGTTTGGAAGAATGGGAATGTCGGGCAGAGTAGCTGGCCTCAATTGAGTGCGCGTTAACGAATCGTGTGGTCGGCCTACCGAAGGCAGGAGCTGTATATGACCAAGTGGGTCGGCCTGCGCTGAGCAGAAGCGGTTTGTGACCCATGCGAGTTTGTGGGTCGGGCTGCGTTGAGCAGGAGCGGTTTATGACCCATGCGAGTTTAATAGTAGTGCGCGAGAGGCCAGTTACGGAGGGGTGCCCATGCCGACATTCCCATTAGGGCCAGAGGAGATAGCGGGTGATAACCAATATAGATGGTAAGTATGTATTGCACAAGAGCGTTGTTCTAGAGGCATAAAGACAGACTGATATTGTGGCGTAGGATCGACAGAGAACGCTATCTGCATCCTAAGTGAATGTCTTTGCACTTACTCGGTGATCGGCTGGACCATGGTGTTTTTTTTGTTTTTTTTTGTTGTTTTTCTACTAATTACACAACCTACTCGTCAGAAGGGGAGAAGACAACAGAGTATACAATGACAAAACAGCAGGGAGAGTAGGGGCTGCAAAGCAAGCCTGTGCTGGTGAGCCAAGCCCACAACACCGACCTATGGTCTCGGCGTTAACGTGAGCTTGCGCACGGTGTCAGGCCACTCCGCAACTGTAGGAGCAAAGGTCCTGAAGGCATCCATCTTGTTCCGGGACAGGGCATCAGCGATGGTATTGGAAATTCCTGGCAGGTGCGATGCTCGGATCAGGAAATTGTGCTTCGCACAGATTGAGTACAGGGTGCGGATGAGTGCCATGACTGCAGGAGACCGGCTCGTGCCCGTCTTCAGGCACTCCACGACAGCTTGGTTGTCGCACTGAAACTCCACACGCAGCCGCAGCCACTCGATCCCCCATGTGGTGCAGGCCGCGACAATGGCGAAGAGCTCCTTGTAGGTAATGCTTAGTTCCAGTTGCTGCGGAGACCAGTCACCTCTGAACCAGCGACCATTGAAGAAGGCTCCAAATCCAATGGTGCCACTTGCGTCGGTTTGCAACTGGAGGTCAGCGCTGGGCATCCACTTCTCCAGCAGGAAAAATGACTTTCCGTTCCATGTTGACAGAGTCTGGTGCCACCAGCTCAGGTCGCCCTTGGCTGAGGCTGAGAGGTGCAGCATTCGGTGAGATGACATCTCAGATGTGGCCTTGTCGAGGTCATACAGGCGGCGTAAGAATGTACGGGCGGCAGGAATTGCTCTGGAAGCGAACGAGAGGTGGCCCAGGAGTGAGGCGAGTTCGCGTTTGAGAACGCAACCCTTGTCGAGGGTGGTAGAGACTAAACGACGTAGGGCCAGAAGCTTGGACTGAGGCAGACGCACTTCCAAGCGATCGGTGTCCAGTTCCAAACCGAGGAAGGTGAGGACAGTGGAAGGGCCCTCAACTTTCTCTGTGGCGACAGGTATGTTCAAGAACTGGAACAAGTCCAAGATGATGGCCTTGTGCTTGGCCGCCAGGGAGGAGCTTGGTGGGCAGATGTCGAGGAAGTCATCGAGGTAGTGCATTACGTCGGGCAAGGAGCCGACATAGACAAGGACCCAGTTGATAGCCGTTGCCAGCTGGTTGAAGATGAATGGTGAGGAGCGGAGACCAAATGGAAGGACCTTCTCGTAATAGTACATGCCGTTCCAACGGATCCCGAGAAGATGCCAGTCCGAGGGGGCGACGGGACACAGGCGAAATGCATTACGGATATCTACCTTTGTCAAGAGGGAGCCCTTGCCGAGGCGCATAATGGCGGCAATTGCGGTGTCCACGGAGTCGTAATGCAGGCTGAACTGCCCGCGTGGTATAGCATCGTTGACACTGCTGCCATCGGGAGACGACAGGTCATGGATCACACGAAGTTTTCCATTGGAATTTGAAAGCTGACTGCAGGCAAGGAAACTGGAAAGACAGCAAGCTCTGTTGTGCGCACAGGAAATCTGCGCATGCGCAGAGTGTGGGCATGTGATGTCTATGATACACAGCAGTATGTAGAGAGAGCAAGATCGTGCACACACGTAAGGAGGGTTATGCAACCCGTTATAAAGGCCAACAGCGAAGCAATGGTACGTGACTGTTAACAACGGTTAACTCCTACATTAACCGAACATTTATAAGTACATGCATACGAGTACTGTGTACTGTTTACTGTCTCCTTGTCGGTGTTTTTGGGCGATCCTCCACACCTTCATTAATTTTGTCCATTACGTATTTTCCTTCTACTTATTAACTTTATAGAAATATTCACTCACTACAACTTCTTGTGATTGCTGGTGCGAATGTACCCTGCGATGCCTGCTTGTTAGTGAGAGTGCACCAGACATGTATCGATATGTATGTTTGACGAGATGTTCTTGAACTGGCATATCAGTATCACCAAGAGTACGGTTCTTCCGTCTACGCATCTCTTCTTGGCTTGTGGATTGTTTGAAAAGAGATAAAATAATGATGCAGAAATACTTGTGTCCAAGTGTCGTCATGAAAACAAGTTCTACTTCCGTAACTTTGTCCGCAAGGTCACGTGAATCTAGCGGGTAGTCCCGCTGCCAATTTGTGTGTGTGTGTTTGTGTGTGTGTGTGTGTGTGTGTGTGTGTGTGTGTGTGTGTGTGTGAGTAAGTGTGCGCGTGCATGTGTGAGTGTGTGTGTTTGTGTGCATGCGTGAGAAAGAGAGTGCTTGTGTGTGTGTGTGCGTGTGTGTGTGTGAGAGAGAGAGAGAGAGAGAGAGAGAGAATGAGTGTGTGTATGTGTGTGTGTGAGAGAGATTTAGAGAATGAGTGTGTGTGTGTGTGTGCCTGTGTGGATGTGTGTGTGTGTGTGTGTGTGTGTGTGTGTGTGGATGTGTGTGTGTGTGTGCGTGTGTGTGCGTGCGTGCGTGTATGTGAGAAAAGGGACAGAGTGTGAGTGTGTAATGGTGTGAGCATGTGTGGATTTTGGCACTTTTAAAAGTCCCCAGCTCTATTCTATATCATTTACGCTGAAACTGCTGCTGCATAGCCCCAAGTCTGAAGACTTGGCAACTTCACGCCTGCACCTGACTCTTGCGCTATGATACACGTCGCCTATGATACCCCTCAGAATTTCCCACCTTACTCCCCCTTATGTTCAGGCTGCCCGTTTTGGAGCCATCAGTTGCCTGACGATCGTAGTAATGAGTGAAACTCAGAGTTGTGACAAAGCTTCCAATCTCTCTTGTAAGGCCACACGTTTTATTTCTATGTTTCTCGTCACCCGCGCGCATACGATTCAGGAGTCTGGAAGAAAAAAAGAAAAAAAACTGTGCTGCACTGACTGTGCATGTGGGGACCAGCACACTCATGCACATGTACATAATGTGGCCTGGCCTGCGCGACACATGATGCATTATGGCATTTTTTGTGCGCAATCTAGCTGCACATGCACAGATTGTGACAGAAGCTCCTCCCACATACTAGTTGCTAACTATGGATGCTATTTTTGCATGGTGTATTGGTGGATTTTAGTGTGAACAAAGGTCTAATAAACTTTTTTATTTTTCGGTCATTTTTATTTTTTTCCACCTCTCGCATACGTTTTTACATTTTTTGCGGGGGTGATAGCTCACGAGAAACGGCAGCAGCCAGATCCGATGCTTGGCGGTCCCTCTCCCGCCGCATGGCAACAGCACGAGTCCGTGCGAGGGCAAGGGCAGCGAGGATGGGATGGTCATCCCCAGGCCGAGGATCTCGAGATGCTCCAATATTCTGAGGCTCAGTGCGAGAGCGATGGAGTAGATCCCGCATGGGCTCAGTCGCACGCAGGGCACGCTGGTGCCCATGCTCTGCAACAACCGAGGCAATTGGCAACCCAATTCCACCACATCGACAGGGCAGAGACAGCAAACGCCGCAGCGGGGAGTCGTCCGAGAAGTGATGGCCGGTGACAGCAGGTAACAACTTGTCAGTCACACTGCTGTCAATGGGTGCCAACACCCCCGGACCGCACTCCATGGCCCGTGATATGAATTTCCACCTTGGCACCAGGGATCTTACGGCAACGGCGTAGCTGGCATGAGGCTGGGTAGTGGCGTACTCTCCACAGCGATTCATCTGGGCTGTAAGTCCCTGAACCCGTTGATCCAGAAACTCACGACGGAACTCGACTGTGCCAAAGGCACCACCCAGGCAACGAGCGCCGTCCGTCCGAATAGAGACGCCGGTATCCCGGAAAAGATCCCGGGCCTCCACCTCGACTTCCGGCTTCACAACGAGCACCGTCTTCGGATCTCAGGGACACCGCGACAACCTTTGTGTGTGGTCAGCCTGCCGTGCGGGATCACATGTTTGTATGCCCGACCGGCGGCTATCCTGGTGCGCGGCACGACAATATCCGTGATCTGCTCGCGGAGGTGTTGGTTGATGTCGCCCAGGACGTTGAACAGGAGCCTAGGCTGGCGGCCATGCATGGGGAGGATCTACCCGGACGCCAGCTGAATCGCCAGGACGAGGCCCGAGCGGACATCCGAGCCAGGGGCTTCTGGACAAGGCAGCAGGACGCCTATTTTGATGTTAGGGTAACCCACCCTGAGGCGTCTGTGCTGTCTCGTTCAGAAGTCCTTGGCCAGCTCGGGTCTCACGAGCGGCGTAAGAAGGCCGAGTATGGGCCACGGATCGTCAACATCGAGCGTGCGTCATTTACGCCGCTTGTGTTTACGACGCAGGGCCTGGCGGCACCGGAGTGCGCGAAATTTCTATCGACGCTGGCGACATACCTGTCCAGGTGTCACACCGATATCCCGTACTCCATCCTCATCAACCGGTTGCGGGTACGCATTTCATTTTGCTTACTTCGGTGGGCCGTCACCTGTTTCCGCGGGTGCCTGGTGGAGTGCCGGCAGATGGGTGGCCGATGAGCTGTTGCCATGGCAAGGGGGCTGCTGAGACGCCGACTTGGCACCGGATGGACTCACTACCGATGGTACGGTGTAGGATGTATGTACAATGTAGGTACTTCACTCTGTTGTCATTTGTCTGTCTATTTGTTGAATTGGATAGGTGTACGGACAGTTCTCCACAATGCATGCACATCCATTCATAACATTCATGACAGGTAATTTATATTGACATTGGCTTAGACTTGCATACATGACGGGACCTGTTACTTTAATTTTCACTTTGAGTTTAAAGTTTTCTTCTTTTGACATTGGATTTGACATTGGATTTGACATTGGATTTACTAATTGATTTGACGTTATTTAAAGGAGTTGTTTGTTTTTTTAATTGAATTGATCTTCAATGATTTACGATTTCACGTTTCCGCTATTTTGCCCGTAAAAGAGGCTTGTCACCAGTAGTAGTAGCAGTAGCAGTAGCAGTAGCAGTAGCAGCAGCAGCAGCAGCAGCAGCCGCAGCCGCAGCGGCGGGAGGGGCGGGAGGGGCGGGAGGGGCGGTAGTAGTGTATGTGTGTGTATGCCAGTGTGTGTGTGTGTGTGTGTGTTTGTTGTGGTGTATGCGTGTGCCGCTGTGGGTGTGTGTGTCTGTGTGTGTGTGTGTGTGTGTGTGTGTGTCTGTGTTGTGATGGTGAGGGAGAGAGAGAGAGAGAATCCTCTATTTCACCTTCGTCAAATGACTGAATCTGGGTGCTTTGTGTTCTCTGGTGCAGCTATCAATGAATGCATGTCTACGCCATGTCCCAGTGACACAGTGTGCGTGAACAAAAGTGGTGCCTACACATGCGTCCCAATGTGCCAATTTGACCAATCAGCGGCTGGTTGCGATCTAGGTGAGTCACAATGAAGCGTGTGGTGGAGTTGAACAGCATTTTACACTAATGTGCAGTGGAGAAACAAGGAGAAATTGCCAAGGAATGGATATGAATAACAGAATACCTTGAGTGAAAGTAATGTCCAATCTGTTGCATGTGGCCTATTTGAACATGTTTCTCTACAGCCCACATCCTATCCTTTTGCTGTTTATTGTTGTGCAGGTGGTCCTGATCACCAGTCCGGCTCCGAAAGTGAAGGAGCAGTTGGAGGTAAGCCATCTGCGAAGCAAAGTTCATCTTGCTGCTGTAGCTACTATCATATGAGCCCGAGCGCGCTAAAACATGACCACAGCTTTTTTGGAAAAAGTCGAGAAAATCGTGATTTGAATTCCGCGGCAAAAAATACGAAGTGCAGTGCAACACGAGTCGCTGTTGTTGTTCTCCTCGGTCGACTGGACTGTTCCGGATGCATTTCTTTGTTGCAAGTAAGTTTATTTGTTTGAGTTTGTATTCCATGTTGCGCTGAGTCGCCTAAAACTGATCGTCATCGATGTATCGACGGAAGAGCCTAGTAGTAGTAATGTACTGCGGAGCGGAAGAAGACGACATCCTCGCACTCCATGCGCAGGATAAAATATTTTGAGGATTCGGGTCGGAAACAGAAGGAAGACGATGATGGCTACAGCGACGAGTCATTTGAGGGTGACACTTTCATCGACTGTAAAATAATTGATGCTGGTAGTCCCACGATCTGCAGTGACGAGGAATTCTACTCTGATGACAACCTGGCAAGCGATTGGCATCGACACTGACTTGGGAGGTGAGTCGGCCGATGATTTGGCCAGAACGGACATCGCTGCACATATCCGGGACAATGCCAGTATTGGTTGCAAGTGCAAAAACAATCGATGGACTCTGCTGCTTCAACTTGCTCAAGTCGATAATTTGAGTAACCTTATGCGGAACATCGCTAGCACGAGCAGTAGGCAGCGAAAGCAGTACTCTCTGGCGAGCGGAGAAAACTGTGTGCAGATGGGCTTTGGTGTGGGGAATATGAGTGCGACGTCAAGTATGTTGAGGAAAACTGTGTGCAGCAGTGTATACTGTATATCTGAAAGTACAGGTGGAATGTGATGGAGAGGACGTGGAGTGCCAACTTCTTCAGCCATCTACAGATGTTGACCGTATTTTCGCTGGCGGTTCTCCAATGGTGCTCCACACAGGAGGTATTTCGGACACCCAGCTCGGTGCCTATAGAAATGTTGGATGTGGCGCAGTACCTGTCAGCTCATGCTATAAGACCCTGGACAGAGGAACTGACCCAGAAAGGATGAACCAATGGACATATCAACTGTGTGCAAAAATGACAATCCCATTGCTGTACATAGAATTTCACCATTTCAACAGTGCTGCATATAATACCATTGTAGCACCACTTAGACATGTCAGATCAATCCAAAACTGTCAGATAGTGAACATTAGGTGTGTTTGATCATTTTTGAACAAAAAACTGAAAATCGAATTTTTGGTCTGTGGTCATATTTTAGCGTGCTCTGGCTCATATCATAATTCCATTTAATATGCGGAAAATAGATCATGACACAAAGGCATTTTCCTAACTTTACTGTGTTCATTTCTGAGAATCAGTTATATGACCGGTTGTCTGGGGAAATCGATCTTGACAAGTAGAAAGTTCTCCGAGCTGTAGCTGATAAATTGCGACGGCCATGAGCAAAACAGGCTAGTTTAGCGAAGACCGCTGAACACACCTTTCGCTGACTTGAAATAAGAACATAATGTGGGAATCTATTCATAGGCATATCATGAATGTTACCACAGTAAATACTAGTGTGACTTGTGTCTCGAGAAAATTGCCAGTCCCGTCTTGTCCAATTTACGCGTGACTAGTCTGCTTTCGGTGATCTAGGCGCATGCTATCCAGTAATGTTACTTGATTAACTGGGATTGTGGATGGTCTGGAATTGACTTCTCTCTTTCATTGCTTTGCACAATTCTAATTGTTCTTTCAGCTGCCGTTGGAGGTGCAGTCGGTGGGATACTGGTTCTTGCAGTTGTCATCGCTCTACTGGTGTTATATCTCAAACGACGAAAGTATGTGTGTGGAACAGAATGCTTACTGCACGCCCCTGCACTATATCCAGTACTCCATGCACTTTGACCAGTTGCAGCCTGCCGACTACTTCGAAATCTGAAGATCAAATCTATGACATAATACATTGTGTTGTACTGTATTGTTTTTTACGGATTCTGCAGAGGTACATGGATACCTATCACGGGAGTCTCTCCAAGCCAATAGAATAATGAAAATAAAAGTATATAGGGAGTGGATACACCTCAAATGAAATCTGAGAATTTAAATCAAAGGAGAGGAAGAATATCACTAGATTGAGAAACAGGGATGCTAATAGAACACTGGAAAGGCACTAAAACGAGAGTAACTGGGCTACAGAAGAAATTTTTAATAACTGAGCTAATTCGAGATTCCTTTGAAAGAGAACCTGTGCTCCTAATACTGGTTTCTTTTAAAACGAAGTTTTAGAAGCAGGAAAGGAAGACAGTTGGCAGAGAGATTCTGGATGACGACCCAGTACTGCAGGATCTAGAAATATTATACCGGGTTAAAACTGAGGGGAAATAGTAAAAACATGATGGAAATACACTAAAGCTAAAATCTGACGACGCCATGCCAGGGATTCCCAAGAAACAAGAGAATTGAAGTCCTCCTTACAAGTCAGGCGATCTGGCCGATGACAAGCGCAGAACAAGTATGACCTAGCAGACGTGGCTTGAAGCTTATCGAGTATGCAGGCAAGACTAATGTTTAACGAATGCATCTAAATCGGCATAGCATACTCCAGGAGGGGTAGAATATAACACATATTATCGAATAGTGCCATCAGGATATGCGGCCCGGACTTAGACGGCTGCAGCGATCGCTCTGTCCAGCGCGTCAGAGAAACAGTGGATGGACAGGTCGGCGCCAGATGATGGCTTCTCTGGGTTCTTGAAACAGCGGTTGACGTTGAGATTGTTTAGGTCTGGCAATCCTTTGAACCACTCCTGCCACTTCCCGGTCTGGTCAGTTGGCAAGTCATCATCCCATCCACTGTCGAGTAGCCACGCATCTTGTAGCATCACCTTCGCGCGAATGAGGTAAGGCGAAATCCGTCCACGAAGATCAAATATTGTAGCGAGACCGCACAATATTGACAGCCGGGTGAACTTCGGAATCTCCTTGGGCTGACATTGGAATGTGAAGGTATCGGTCTAGGCATTCCATGCTATGCCAAGCGTCTTCACTGTTGGCAGATGACCAGCTTTCGCGGAGTCGACAGTCCTCGACATCTCTGGAGATTGATCTTCCTTGGGTATTGAATCCATCACCGCTTTGTCGTTAGACAGTCACTTCCTCATATGGAAGCCACCTCAGGACAGTATCTCTTGAGTCTGCTTGTGCATCTCAACTCCTCTGTTGGGTGTGTCAACAGACGACAGCAGGTCATCCACGTACAGGTTGTCACCGAGATTGCATACGACATCGGGGGAGAAATCATCTCCATGGCGAGCGATGACTTCCTTGACTGCCCGCCCAGCCATGTCCGGTGATGCCTTGGCTCCGAAGACCACCCGCTGAAAGTGGTACCATGCCAACTTCACGTTGCCAAAGAAATCGGTGATAGCGCTGATCTGCCTCCTTGAGCCGTACTTGGAGAAACATCTCCGAGATATCTCCAACGAGTGCAACCGGTTTCAGGAAGAATCGCAGACGGATACTGACCATGTCATTCTGAAGTGCTGGCCCAGTATACATGTACATCATGTCATTCAGCGAGCGACCGTTCCAAGCAGTGGCAGCATCAAACACAATGCGTACCTTGGTGGTGCTCTTGTCGTCTCGCACCACAGGGAAGTGTGGTAAGCACCACTGGTGGTCGCCATCGTTCTCAGCTTCTTGTTCAGTGACCCGCCGAACGTATCCCTTAGACAGGTGGCTTGCCATCACGCGATGGTGCTGGTCTATCACTGCTGGACGCTAGCTGAGAGACCTCTCCCAACTTGCGAGTCGTTGCTCAGCTTGGGCTCGGTAAGACCGGGTAGGCGATTTGCCTCTCTGATTAACCCATGGAATGCCCATCTGCACTTTCCCATCCGTAACACTTAGGCTCTCGGACATGGCACACTCCGCTTCCAAATCATCAGCTGATGATGTGACTTTGTTGCGACTGCTGTCCTTCGTCCCATCCGATTCAACACTCCAGAACTTCTCTACCAGCTGCTCAAGCATTGGCGCACTGTCATAGGTGGTCGTGGCAAAGGTGCTGCATGAACTCGTTCCATTCGGCGGTGCGGTTGCCGATCCGAAACATACCCAGCCTATTGGAGTCTGTGTGGCGATTGGTGCTCCTGCGGTGTCAGAGAGGCGTTCCTCAAGCGAGGCGTGCAGGTCGATGGCGTTGAGGCCAATGAGGACAACAATGCAGCAGCCGTTGACATCAGGAAACTTAGTATTGACGTGCGTCCATGCTGACTTTGTGGCATTCCAATCAACCGTCGGTCGGCGGGGGGGGGGGGGGGGGGGGGGGGGAGGGCAGTTACAGCTGGTAGGACCCACGCACTAAGCTTGCTTGTGGTATGGCTAGCATCTACCTCTACTTCAATGTCCACACGATCTCGGCTCGCGGTGGTCTCTTTCCCACCCAGAACGGAGGAGGTGAGGCGTTCTCTCAGCCCGTTTAAGTTCAATGCTGTGGCGATCGGCTGGCAGAGTTAGCTGGTCGAAGATGCTGGGTCCAGCAAGGCCGTTCCTTTTACATGCTTGCCACTCTCGGTGAAAACCACTGGCACCAGCATGAACGACTCGTACGGTACTTCATCTGTGTATGTAGCATGAGTTGTCGCATGTGCAAGAGGCTCACTTGATGTCTGTGTTCGCTGACCTTCAGTGGTTGTTTCTTTTTGCTCGAAATGTAGCAGGGTGTGGTGCGGCTTGTCGCGTTTAGGACACATTCGTTGTCCACACTGCCTGGATCGGTGTCAAAACCCAAGGCAAACAGTGCACACATCTGGACGTAACTTCAGGAGCCTCCATCTTTTATGGACGGGAGACTTCTCAACTTTTGGACACGCAACCAGCTGATGTGCCTTGGAGCACTGCGGACAGCTAGCGGAAGAGGCATCTGTCTTGTCCTTGGGTGCCTTGGACGTGTCAGACGTTCCTACGAAGGTCCGGTGTTGGTGTTGTTAGCGCGTCTTTGCCCAACCGGGAGAGCCTCGCCTCTTCGTTAGCGGTGACAGTTGCTCTCGTTCGCCACCTTTCAGCCTGTCATCTACCCGACTCAGCATATGCACTCTTGACATAAGCCATTCTGAGAAGGTGTGGACATCACTTTTCCGGTCGTCGTGTTTCTTGAAGTAGTCCACCAGCACCGGTTTCGGGACCTTCTGCTTCACGACCAAATAGAGCTCACGACCGGGCTCTACTCCGCCATGTTCATCAGTGTCGGACGGAGCGTCACTGCAAACTTGGTCACACCACCTGCGTCCTTTATTCGGGGCCACTGCAGCAGCTCTCTTTCTTGCTGCTCTAGGGTGCAGTCATCTCCGCCATGCCAGGCATCCAGCTCGTCAAGCACAGCTCTGAAGTCTCCTGGTCCATCTAAGACTCCCTCCACAAGCTCCTCGGCCTGCCCTCCGGACAAACATTGCCTGAGCTGAGCCTGCTTGTACACCTCTGTGGTGTGAGGGTCGTCGTCAACAATACGACGGAAGTGCTGTCGCCATCTAACGTAATCCTTGTCTTGCCCTGAAAACTTCGGTAGTTCCAGTGGCTTCACACGATGGACAGGGAAGGTGACAGGTGGGTTTGTGCTCCGCTGAGAAGGGGCACGTGGTGCTGGCTGGTGCTGCACTGGCACTCAAAGTTGATGGTACAGGAGCATCTGGCACTTTCTCCAGCTTGGACTTTCTTGGCTTTCTTAGGCTTCAGTAAGCTTCTCACCTGGGTCCAAACTCCCCAGAGGCTGACTGAGAACTGTGAGAATGCTTGCTAGCACTTGGGCTGAGTTACCTCTGATATTATTAGTATCAGTGCAGGAGTTGCCCTTGGTTCCTAGCAGATATATGAGGCTGATGAGTAGACTGCACTGACTGGATGGGCACTGACCTCTGTTTTGGCTGTGATGCTACCACTCTCTTGCTGGTGCCAGCTACAGCTCTGCTCCTGTCACCGGCAAGGTTGCCTCTGGCTCTGCTTCCTGAACCTGGCTGGGCAATTCCATTCAGCCCAAGTTCAGCCCTGCTCTGCTGAGTATGTTGAGGGGAAAGACTGTTCACACTTCTGTGGCCATGATGAATAGCAGCTGGGTTTACAGAACTGGAGCTGTCACAGTCACTGTCACTTGATACCCTTGTTTTACAGTCACTGCTGTGATCAGGACTAACACTACTTCTCTGATCAGAACTTGACTCCACACTTTCAGCTGGTACTGGCGGAAAACAGCCTTTGGTCACTACTACACCAGCTTAGCCCGACTACATGGACTGCTGCTTGCGCTCGTTGGCAAAACTTCATCTTCTGCCTCTGCGAAATCCTGTACATGTATGGATTGAGGATGGAGCTGCTCCGTGTCTGACCTCCACGCACTGAACGTACACCTCTCCTTGCAACACCATCGATGCACTGTCTGACATTGTTCTCTCTGGTACATTCTCACTCTGAAACCTCCATGTGTCACACCTTTCTGGCTTAGTGCCTCCAACTTAGTCTTAGCCTCTGGCTCCTTCTCGCTGTTTCACTCATTCCGGCCTTCTGCTTCAAAGCCGAATGATGTCAACACTGCAAAAGCAAGATCTGGCTCGAATTGCACCACTATGTTCTGACCCCGTGGGGAATTCAATCTTCACTCTCAAAAGCCATTATTCACACAGGTAATCACACAGGTAATCATTTATTCCAAAAGCAAAAAGACTGTAAACTGAAAAACAAACTGCTTCTTGCTCATATGGTATCGGAAGTTGTTCCAGCCAAAAGAGAAGACTAATTAGCTATGCCAAGGTTTCTCTCACAGCTGACATTTTATATAGCATAAAGCCGCGGATTGCAAAGGTTGCACATCGCAAAGGTCGCGCATCGCGTACACACTGCAATGAAGCTTTTCATGTACCGGTACATAATGAGCAGCCCTGGCTGGCGTGGCACACGCGCTACACGTGCGCTGTGTGCTGCGTAGATCCTTGGTACAAAGACCTCGAATACACACCAAGGCATTCATGCAAACAGAAAGGGATACTAGTAAACTATTGAATGGTGCAATATGACAAGGCGAAAAGGAACGAAGAAGAGTCGAGAAATCTGACTGTTTGAGATCAAAGAAGAGTGCGGCGATTCCAGCGAAAGCAGCATTCAGGATCTGGCTCAACACTAGTCGGAAGCTTACCATTGAAGAGTGATCCTCAATGTCAACTGTGGTGGTTGTTACTGCTCCTTTGCCTTCATTTCCCGTGCATAGCACGGGTTAGCGGAAAATCTAACCATCCTACTTCGAAGTACATGTAGCAGCATGTCTTGGTGTGAGCATGTCATGAATAGGCAGAAGATTTACGCACAGTCATGTACTTGGGTGGGAAGTTTGTGGACCCCTCCCCCTTGATCATGATCCTGGCTACCATACGCCCCTGATTAGGTCTGAAGATCGTGTCACTATTCGTGTTATGTTTATTTTACTTTTACTTTTATTCATTTCTGCACCTCGTAGCATGTCAAGACAGCCAATTGAATTGAGGAGAGGGTGAGACCAACCACGGAAGAAGAGGAAAAAGAAAAAGAAAAGCACGTACACAAAAGGGGTAGGGATTAGCAACTTACAAAGCAATGCTATGCTATGCAGTGGCAGTGGTGACTGATTTTTTTACTAGAGGATACTGAAGTGCTGTCTGACGAGGGTACGGAATCTGGGCATATTGAGAGCTTGTCCTACATTGGAACTCTGGGAGGCAGTTGGAGCCATGTGGAGTAGGAGGAATATAATGGGGAATTTACGAATAAGGTAGACCTAGCTAGGTAGAGACAAACACAACTTCGGGTGGCACCAATTAAGCGACTGTAAATGAGCAGGGTGCTGGTCAAGAAAATAGACTCGTGCCAGGGTGCACTTAGAAGCATCAAGATGATGTTGCAAAGTGGTAGTTGATGCAGCAGCATACAAGTCTGAGTTTGAAACGTAACGGTCTGTACGAAAATTATTTACTATACGAAGGAAACGGCGATGAAGAACTTCTAATTTCTCGATTCGGATAGTTTTTGTTGTTATACCCGAAGTCGTTTTTCGCATGGCTGACTGTACACACTTCTGATGTGATTTTGCAGGTGCTCAGTGTTGGTGGTAGAGTTTCCGAATGTGTTCCGGGTGTATGTCCCACATGGGGGTTGAGGGGAATATCCCTGCACACGGGAGGTGGGGAAGGGGAGTGAGAAGTGAAACACCCCTTGAAAGTTGTTGGGATGTTCACAAGTTAGAATCCTGTGGAAGGCCTAATCTGGGAGGCTGGATGCATATAGTATTTGGAATTTGCGGGAAACCAGCTTCACAAGTACACTTGATGTGTCGTGCACTACCAGTCTGCTTCTTTACAGTTTGAAACCGGTCTTGATGCTTGGGTTGCACCCATGGACGGGGCTCCTGAGCAAACTGGAACCAATGCCTCCCACAGGCCTGCGTAGACTTGATTGTTGGTACCACAGTACCTTGCTAGCCTCTTTCCTCATTTCCTTAGGACCCATTACTAATCTGTCCTTTGGTCCATTGTCCTGATATCCTTCTACAGAAAAAAGAAGCATGTGTTGTCTCAAAACAGCAGCGAATTGACATTGGTGAAAGGAAGTGAGCAGATAGAATCACAGTTACAGGATGAGTGCTGCTACTCAGTCCCGGAAGCCACGAATGGGCCAGGGCGAGGGAAAAGTAAGTGTACTGAAGTGTGCATTCAGGGGCACAGTAGAACCTGCCCTAACCAAATACCGTTGGCACAGAGGAAACTGCCCTGATATTCCAGGGTTTCGCTTGATCCTGGATGCACCTTTGATCCACAGCACTTTGGTGCATGAAAATGTGTCCGGTCGATACAGGATTCCGCTTGGTACAGGGTACAGTGTAATACATGCTGTTGCTGATGGGGGAGGGGGGGGGGGCAGTGCAGTTATGCCATGCTGATTATGTTTAAAATGCTCATTCCACTACGGTTGTAGCAAAGTCATTCATGAATACTTGGCGCACATCTAAGACCGTGCCACATCCAAGGTATAGAACTCATCATTCGTATCAGCGCTGGCTCTCTTCCCAAATACTCACTATAGCATGCGCTAGTACTCATTGTCTAGCAGTCACAATGCAAAACAAGGATGTTTAGAGTCCAGCCTGTGTAACTGTCTATATCTTCTTCAGGGATATCACGGAATATGTTCCAAACTGCAGATAGAAGCTTTGGAAAGTCTCCCTGGGCTGGACCAATCTACTGTGAAGCTGGAGGAGAAGCAAGTGTTTCACTCTTCCCTATGGTTGATGCTGATGATTTGGATGATAATCCCGTTGACATGATGACTCGAGATTTGAGCCGGCATGCCGCTGAAGAAGGTACGTACGACACGTCACAGCGTATGGGGCGTAGGTGCGATGTAGGGATGGTAAGTAGGCCATGGCACAAGAGGTAGTCCTATCCACTTGCAGCCCCTGCACAGCCATCACTGATGTGACACCCATAGCACCCTAACATGTTTCGCAATTCTTGACGCAATCCGCACCCAGTCCCCACACAAAGTACCGGCATACCCACCATTATCATGTTGTCTGGTGACTGCATGGTTGTGCATGAAACTCTGAGTTACAACCACAGAGCCTTTCTGTCCACTGTTAGACTGTTCTATGCCCTACATCCACAGCATTGTCAGCAAACTTTGCATACTAGGTGCAACCCTCGTTATATTATGTACATGTCTGCACCTGCTCTTGGTAACTATGGTGAAAAAGGAGGACAAATGTTGCGAGTTATGACTAACTGTCCACCAACGTAACCAAATCTTATAAAGTCAGCGAGTGCGACAAAATGGCACAAAACTGGCAAAGGAGTACTGAGACATTCGGCGACCTGACACCTAGCTCCAACACTTCTCCAAGGCGCAAACCAACAACCTTCCAACTTGGAAGGCTCAGGTTCGGAAAGGTCCAAGAGGGCAAGGAAAGCGCAACGAAGTTGATGGACAGTTAGTCATAACTCTGACATTTTGTCCTCCTTTTTCACCATAATTTAATTGGCTCACCATCCGAGTTAAACTTTGCACACCTGATGAGCCGTCATGACCTATACGGCGAAACGTACGTCGTGTGGAACTACTTGTTATTGTACATAACTAGTCCATCATACATGATTGTGGAGTTTAGTAGGATGTTGGCGTTTCGGTTAGTCACAATTCATCTTCGCTTAGCTTCCCATTCTATGTTTATTACATAAAATTGAGCCTCCCAAGTTGGGTGGTCTATTGCTTTGCGTCGTCGAGTTGTAGTAAGGCCGGTCTGTCCAATAGTCTTACTAGTTTCGTCATCAACCAGTAACTTTCGACATTCTTTGTTGCCATGATGCGTAGCTCGTGCTCTTCTTCGTTGCGCTTTCCTTCCCCTCTTGGACCTTTCCGAACCTGAGCCTTCCAAGTTGGAAGGTTGTTGGTTTGCGCCTCGGAGAAGTGTTGGAGCTAGGTGTCAGGTCGCCGAATGTCTCAGTACTCCTTTGTCAGTTTTATGCCATTTTGTCGCACTCGCTGACTGTATAAGATCTGGTTACGTTGGTCACACAGTTAGTCATAACTCGAAACATTTTGTCCTCCTTTTTAACCATAATTTAATTGGCTCACCATCCGAGTCTCGGTAGCTGTTAGCTAATGAAGATAACACCTTACACTTAACTTTCCCTCCTGTGTACTGTCCCATAATGTCTTCAGCAAAGGAAAGAGAGGAAAGTAGACAACGTGCGAAGGATGCTCTCTCTACTCAACCAACATTGGAGACACAAGAATCCACCTTCTCACTAGGCTCCCGATACAGGAAAAGGTAAGGAATCGCAAAGGTTTTGTCACTTCTGGGCTGTACCTTAACATAGATAAGTAAGGCCGCACCAAAAAGTCTTTTGTTTGTGGTAACATGGCCAGAAAATACCGGTCATTCAGTTGGCTTTCTTTTTGATTAGCCCACATCCCACATGCACATGCAGATGCTACACCGCTATGAAGTACACCAACACACAGGGCACAGAGTTTGGAGTTATACGGGTGCTGGCTGCGAGTGAGGCAATGTGGCTCAACATAGAGCATGAGAGAGAGAGAGAGAGCGAGAGAGAGAGAGAGAGAGAGAGAGAGAGAGAGAGAGAGAGAGAGAGAGAGAGAGAGAGAGAGAGAGAGAGAGAGAGAGAGAGAGAGAGTGGCTCAACATAGAGCACGAGAGAGTGAGTGGCTCAACATAGAGCGCGAGAGAGTGAGTGGCTCAACATACAGCTCGTATGGTGGCTCAACATAGAGCGCGTGTGTTGGCTCAACATAGAGCACGGAGTGATTGAACGCGTTAAACCATTGCCGTTAAGAGTTGCGCCAGCACCCGGTGTTTATTGTTAAGAGTGGACCGGTAGTGAGGTCCTAGTTATAGGTAGTGGTAAGGGTGGGATGGTGGGAAACAGAATTCACAAGCCAACCACTACTGCAGAGCAAGAAACAGAAAACAACAACTAAACAGTTTGAGCTCTCCAAACTGCTGTAATAGAAAAAAAAATTTTCTAATCGCTGAGCTGTAAGTGCAAACCGGAGCCAGGGCAGGCGCACAGTTCTGTGAAGCCTTTTACCTGCATGCGTGCTGAGCTGTAAGTGTGACCCGGAGCCGGGACAGGCGCACGGCCCTGTGTACCTTATACGGTAACTGCGTGCTGCACGCTGCATGTAGCAGGCGTATCGGGTTGCCCAGATAGTGCAGTGTGCACCTGTAGACGTGTACGGCAGTGCATACGTAGCACATGTATGCAGGTGCCAAAGGTAAAAAAGGACATGCCTATGTATAAGGAACATGAGGAAATGAGCAGTGGGAATCTGTGATGAGCGCTAACAAGGGTTAACTGCATTAACCCCACATATTTTCATACATGCCAGACTGATATGCAGATAAGTGTAGATATACAGGACACAGCCAAGATAGAAAATGCGTGGCCGTTAAAGCAGCCATACATGTAGACTACATAGCAATCAACAGATCGATCAGACCACCAGGAACAGTCAAACTGGTCATATACAGAGACACCGAGCAGAGCAGAGTTCCGAGACGCTGCGCATTAACACATCGTTTAGCAATCGTTGCGGGCCAGGAACTACAGCTTCCTGTAGCTCCAATGCAAAGAAAAAGAATCGGCGGCCCAGATCCAAATGAAGTCCAACATTATCACTCTTGTCAGCACCCGGTTTCGGAAGCAAACACTGCTTTGAAGCGAGTGACGCCTTCTGGATGAAGCGTTTCCAAAATATTGCTCAGGGTACGTGACTTGAACAATGCAGCTGTTGACGACTGTCCAGCCGCCGTAAACTATACTGACAGAAACATTTTGCCACTAGAGTTTCTAAACTAAAACATGTCTTCGTCGAAAACATTATGCTTGGCAAATAGAATCACCCTGCAACAAATCCGACTTGGTCAAGTCAACTCGAAACAAAGGACTGAAATGCCTAGTTGGCCAGAGCCAGGAGCAGGAAGGAAGAGCTTTGGACTTGGGCCTGGCGCAACACGAAGTGCGAGCATGTACATGTACATGAAATTGCGTATGATGCGCATATGCATAAATGTATACAAAAAAAGAAACAGTCAGCGGTTGGCCAGGTCACAATTTCAAATTTGGACTTAACGGAGAATTTCAAAGTATTAGGAAATTAGGGGCCACATGCCCCGTACTGCTCTTTTCTCTCCGAAACTCAACACTTGTAAGCCAGATATAAAATAATAATAATAATAATAATAATAATAATTTGAAACTCGGGTATTGAGCCAATAACAAATGTAGAAAGGAAAAGGACATATGGAAACGAGTTAAGAGTAACTCTCCACCACTGTAACTAGATACTATAATTATACAGTCAGAAAGTGCAACAACTAATAATAATAATAATAATATTAACTGGTTTTGAGGGAAAGAGACAAACGGGAAAAGTCTGAAGAAAAAATTGACTGTCACCACCAGGACTCGAACCAGGGACCCTCGCTTGTAGCCAGCGATGCTCTAACCACTGAGCTATGGTGTAGTCGTCATCCAAGCAGAGACCGTTCAACGTTTTCTTCAGACTTCGTAACTCACACTTCCTGTGAATCCACACAGGCGGGTGGGACGCAGCCCTCACTGTACCCACACACTTCACGTACAAACTAGCAAGCGGGGAGCCCCAAGTCATAAAATATTAACTGGTTTTGAGGGAAAGAGACAAACGGGAAAAGTCTGAAGAAAAAATTGACTGTCACCACCAGGACTCGAACCAGGGACCCTCGCTTGTAGCCAGCGATGCTCTAACCACTGAGCTATGGTGTAGTCGTCATCCAAGCAGAGACCGTTCAACGTTTTCTTCAGACTTCGTAACTCACACTTCCTGTGAATCCACACAGGCGGGTGGGACGCAGCCCTCACTGTACCCACACACTTCACGTACAAACTAGCACGCGGGGAGCCCCAAGTCATAAAATATTAACTGGTTTTGAGGGAAAGAGACAAACGGGAAAAGTCTGAAGAAAAAATTGACTGTCACCACCAGGACTCGAACCAGGGACCCTCGCTTGTAGCCAGCGATGCTCTAACCACTGAGCTATGGTGTAGTCGTCATCCAAGCAGAGACCGTTCAACGTTTTCTTCAGACTTCGTAACTCACACTTCCTGTGAATCCACACAGGCGGGTGGGACGCAGCCCTCACTGTACCCACACACTTCACGTACAAACTAGCACGCGGGGAGCCCCAAGTCATAAAAATATTAACTGGTTTTGAGGGAAAGAGACAAACGGGAAAAGTCTGAAGAAAAAATTGACTGTCACCACCAGGACTCGAACCAGGGACCCTCGCTTGTAGCCAGCGATGCTCTAACCACTGAGCTATGGTGTAGTCGTCATCCAAGCAGAGACCGTTCAACGTTTTCTTCAGACTTCGTAACTCACACTTCCTGTGAATCCACACAGGCGGGTGGGACGCAGCCCTCACTGTACCCACACACTTCACGTACAAACTAGCACGCGGGGAGCCCCAAGTCATAAAATATTAACTGGTTTTGAGGGAAAGAGACAAACGGGAAAAGTCTGAAGAAAAAATTGACTGTCACCACCAGGACTCGAACCAGGGACCCTCGCTTGTAGCCAGCGATGCTCTAACCACTGAGCTATGGTGTAGTCGTCATCCAAGCAGAGACCGTTCAACGTTTTCTTCAGACTTCGTAACTCACACTTCCTGTGAATCCACACAGGCGGGTGGGACGCAGCCCTCACTGTACCCACACACTTCACGTACAAACTAGCACGCGGGGAGCCCCAAGTCATAAAATATTAACTGGTTTTGAGGGAAAGAGACAAACGGGAAAAGTCTGAAGAAAAAATTGACTGTCACCACCAGGACTCGAACCAGGGACCCTCGCTTGTAGCCAGCGATGCTCTAACCACTGAGCTATGGTGTAGTCGTCATCCAAGCAGAGACCGTTCAACGTTTTCTTCAGACTTCGTAACTCACACTTCCTGTGAATCCACACAGGCGGGTGGGACGCAGCCCTCACTGTACCCACACACTTCACGTACAAACTAGCACGCGGGGAGCCCCAAGTCATAAAATATTAACTGGTTTTGAGGGAAAGAGACAAACGGGAAAAGTCTGAAGAAAAAATTGACTGTCACCACCAGGACTCGAACCAGGGACCCTCGCTTGTAGCCAGCGATGCTCTAACCACTGAGCTATGGTGTAGTCGTCATCCAAGCAGAGACCGTTCAACGTTTTCTTCAGACTTCGTAACTCACACTTCCTGTGAATCCACACAGGCGGGTGGGACGCAGCCCTCACTGTACCCACACACTTCACGTACAAACTAGCACGCGGGGAGCCCCAAGTCATAAAATATTAACTGGTTTTGAGGGAAAGAGACAAACGGGAAAAGTCTGAAGAAAAAATTGACTGTCACCACCAGGACTCGAACCAGGGACCCTCGCTTGTAGCCAGCGATGCTCTAACCACTGAGCTATGGTGTAGTCGTCATCCAAGCAGAGACCGTTCAACGTTTTCTTCAGACTTCGTAACTCACACTTCCTGTGAATCCACACAGGCGGGTGGGACGCAGCCCTCACTGTACCCACACACTTCACGTACAAACTAGCACGCGGGGAGCCCCAAGTCATAAAATATTAACTGGTTTTGAGGGAAAGAGACAAACGGGAAATAATAATAATAGTACAACCTGGATAGTACAACCTGGAAGATGAGCTGCTGCCCAAGGAGATTAGTGATGTAACGGAGGAGTTGGAGAAGAGGTATCGTGCAGAGGTCGTGGCCGACATAGCACAGCGACAATGCCTCCCTAATCCAACAAAAAAGCATGTACAAAATAAATTATTATACAGTGTTACCGCCATGGTCAACTCTCAGCTCAAGCTTGTGTGTCGCCGGCTATTTCCTGATGGTGAGGCGTCGCTCCATGAGATCAATTGCCTCGTGTATGCTGGTGCTTGCGTTTGCATATCGACTATCCAAGGCAGTCAGAATCATCCGACTGGCAATGCCAAGCAAAACGGAAGTGACAAGGACCATCCGCCGCAGTGGCAGATCCGATTGACAAAGGAAATCGATCAACTCCGCTCGGATGTTTCCCGACTCACCAGCATGCTACGATATCCATCGGAGAAACATCATGACTTCTGGAGGAGATATGAAGTTGAAGTCGGAAACACAGACGAGTTGGAAATGAAGCTACAGGGAAAGAAAGATCGACTTCTTGCGCTAGCAGCCAGAATGCGTCGATACCGAGAAAATGAAAAGGCCAAAAAAGCCAACAAAATGTTCCAAAT